AAAAAAAAAAAAACGAAGAGACGCCTTAGCGTTCTCCGTGCGAGAATCTGTGGTCGGCCAAGCCGGACGAATATTAACAAATAATAGAGCGAAGTTTCTGGTAAGAAGCTGGTAAACTGTGAGCAAGACGAATGGAAATAAAGAGTGAAAGAGTGAGTGTGCGTCTGCGTGAAAGGGTAAAGATCGCGTGGAGGATTTTCGATCTGGATAAAAGTGGTACTAACGATCGCGATAAAGAAGAAAAAAAGAGAAATGAAAAGAAACAAACGCTAGAGACCGTTTGACGCGAAGAATAAGAGCAACGGGCATAGAACAAAATATTGAGCGGATGATACGCGCCGTTTTTCACCATTTCCCCTGCAAAACCTAAAAACGAATCCGTCTATATGCAATTATACGTCACGTTTTCTACCTTTTTTTTGGGGGGGGGGGTACTTATTCGTATCATCGTGACAAAATTTGCGGATAATCGATTTATTCGCTCGTTTCCAATGTCAGCTTGAACATGACCACGCTAGTAATCTTTCTAGATTCTAAAACATAGAATCTTGCGTTCGATTATCTCTATCGTGTGTTCTTATCGATTATATACCTGTATACCTGGACTTGCTCCTGTTTCATTTGTTTCATCTTCTCTCTCGAAAAGTTTTGCACTCGGCTTTTCTCGTTTCTCGCTCGATGGTGAAACGCGCGTATCGAAAGCTCTTGCTGAACACTTTCCGTAAGTTAATCGATCGATCAAGCTGAAAAACGACAGCGGGATGATTGGGATAACAGCATACGTAAATCCGTTCATTTACATGTGCCTTTCAAGCGATTGTCAAGAAGGAAACGCAAATATTAAATGGTTTATTAGCATGGCATTTTCCACGGCTGAAATTTCCTGGAATCGTTTTGCTCAACTATTGCAAGCGTCGATCGTGATTGACGAAAAAGCAAAGTAATATGGGAAAAGACGATGAAGAGGGCAAAAGTGAAACGTTTGCAATCCTAAGAACAATGAATGTCGCGAGAACCATGTAATTCGGGATCGCCGTCAGTTTCAAAGCAT